AGTAGCCCTCAAAGCGGATAGGTAATTATTTCTACACCTGCCCCTGTGTTATCCTTCTGTGCAGGTTTGAAAACAAAACTCACGTGTGTCTGTCCCCTAGACCTTCCCAACTCTCCCTTCTCCCACAATCAAGTGAACCCAAAGGCTTGAGCTTTCCCCACATCCTATCAGCCAGAGGAGGACCTTTCTCCCTGCTTATGCAATAGCCAGTATTTACAGTAGCTAGAGCTACATTATTTTATGGTGGCCATTTAATACTAAAAATCCTTTTTTTCTGGACTACTCTCTGCTTTGACATATATGGTCTTGCTGAAGAGGTCATGCAAGTCAACTTTAAGACGCAAAGCAGGTCAATGTCCCCTTTCTTCTAGGAAATCAGTGAAGATTTGAGGGCACATAGACTTCCTGTGAAGATTAACTCATGAACGGCAGGCCAAGTCCTGAGCACTGTGCTCACCATGAAGTTATCATTCAGTGCAAGTTGGCTGCTGTGATTGTTGCAATTCCACTGACTGTTCAGAGAATGCCTTCAAATATTATTCTGGATCTTGGCTTTCTCAGAAAGGTTATGTGTAATCTTTTCTCTCAGACCTTCCCTTTCTCCTCTCCATGAAATCTGGCTGGACTGCAGTGATCCCTGTGCACACGTCCTCTTCGAGCTCCCCCGGGTCCTCCCCTCCATCCCCGCCCTGCTTTTTCCCTGTGCTGATCTCCCTCCACACCCCCTGCACGGGTGTTCCAGTGATCCCTGTGCACACGTCCTCTCCGAGCTCCCCCGGGTCCTTTCCCTTCATCCCCGCCCTGCTTTTTCCCTGTGCTGATCTCCCTCCACACCCCCCTGCACGGGTGTGTCCCTCCTGCGTACTTTCCCCCTTTGCAAGCACTCTCCCGAGCTGAAGCGTCAGCTGGGCTGGAGACACAAGATGAATAGTCTGCACTCAAGGAGGATAAATCATTTGGAGATGCTAATCGCCAGAGAATTTCAGATAAAGTGCTTTGGCAACTCAAGTAGGAAGAAATCATTTGCAGGAGAAGATGATGAAAGAGATAGCTGTTGAACTGAGTTTTGAGGGATTGTAACATCTAGATGTGTCTCGGTGAGAGAGGAAGGGCCCTTTATTTTTTTTCCTCAGAAGAAACTTTATTTAGACTAAAACAAAAGCATGTGAACTGTGAGTGTGTGTTTGAGTGACAGCTGTTTTTAAGCTGTGTAAGTCAAGAGGAAAAGGGTGCCTGCCTTAGGTAAAGGGGGCAGCATGACCAAAGGTAGGATGTTGGATACGTATATGGGGCTATTTACTCTATGAGAAATTAATATGGATGATTTAATATGCGTATTGGTTAAACATACTGGTATTAAACTCATTGTATGTTAACATAAATAACATTTTAATGAAAGGTAACTATTTCTGAAACAAAACAATTTAGTGAGAAGATGACATTGTATGTAATATGTTTCACAAATCCCTTAAATGTTTGCCTTATTAGAAGGCAGGCTCTCATTTCTGCTACCGTGTTCCCTCTGCTGTGGTGTGTTGTTTGGGGTGAAGCGTGTGAAGGGCAGCTGGTCATGTACCTTCCCCTGTAACCATCACCACGCTGGCGGAGCGGGGTGAATGCCGAGGGTGCGGGCATTCGGAGGTTTCCTGTGCATTCTAGGATTTCACTGGAATTAATAAGATAAACAATGAAGATTTTGTGAGGGAGTTGGGATTTGGGGTGAGACTTGAAGGCGTTAGATAAATGGAAAGAAATAAAAAGGCTTTACTGTTGAGGACAAATAGTATGAACAAAGTTACGGAAAATTTCATGTCTCACGATCAAAAGACTAGAACAGTTACCATGAATTCAAGAGGTGGAACAGAAATAAAAATGACTACTTTACACTGGGCCCTGATAAAGTCTCACGTCTAATAGAAAGGCCGTGGGACAGTTAGTTGGCCTGTAGTGCTGGGGAGGAGTGGAGCCAGCCAAGTGCTGAGTGCTTTCCGTGTGTCAGTCACTGACCTAAGGGGCTGTGTGTGCTCATTCACGTGCTCCGCACACAACCCTGGAAGGTCGGTATTGTTATCACTGTTTTACACGTCAGAAACCTGAGGCACAGAGAAATTATGTTACCCACTTGAGGTCACACAATTAGTAAGCTGCAGAATTGGGTTTTAAACTCAGGCAGTTCGGCGCTGACTGGTGTGGCTCAGTGGGTTGGGTGTTATCCCGCAAACCGAGAGGTCGCTGGTTTGATTCCTGGTCAGGGCGCATGCCTGGGTTGTGGCCCAGGCCCCTGGTCAGGGTGTGGGAGAGGCAACTGATGGGTGTTTCTCTCGCACATCGGTGTTCTGCCCTCTCTTTTTCAGTCCCTTCCCCTCTCTCTACATATAAATAAATACAATCTTAAAAACAAACACTCAGGCAGTTGGGTTACAAGATCTGTGCTTTTATGGAGCACGTTAAATGCCCCTTAAATACTAAGAAATAAGATTATATAAGGAGGATAATATGAGCTTATGAAGGACTCTTAAAACAGAGGAATTTGAACTTGATATAGGAGGCTATCAGTAAATGTTTGATTTTTTTCAATTGAGTTGACTTAAGACTTAATAAAATATTTCTTTTTTTTTAGATTTTATTTATTTATTTTTAGAGAGGGAAGGGAGGGAGAAAGAGAGAGAGAAATATCAATGTGCTGTTGCTGGGGGCCATGGCCTGCTCCCCAGGCATGTGCCCTGACTGGGAATCGAACCTGCGATGCTTTGGGTTGCAGCCCACACTCAACTCACTGAGCTACACCAGCCAGGGCATGATAAAATATTTCTGAGTGCCAGTGTTGTATATGTAAGTTGTTATGGTGAGGATATAAGGATGAGTATAGCAGAGCCAGGCGAATGTCCCTCAGTAGCTGTGTTTCCTTTCTTCTGTGATAATAGCATTTATAGCTGGCCCAAAGGCCACCACAAGACTGTATTTCCCAGCCTTGCCGGAAAGCTGGAGTGGCCATGTAACTGAGTTCAGGCTGGTGGGATGTGAAGTGGATCTGTGCTTATCACAGCTTGTCGGAGCTGGGCTGAAACGGTTGGCGGTAGACTTCCTTTGTCCACCCCCCTCATCCCCCCCTTACCACCCCCCGCTTTTTTTCTTTTGGTTTGGTCCTCGCCTCATCTTACTGCCTACAATGCCAAGGAAAGGTGTTAAAAGGAAGAGAATAGAATTTCTTTGAAATGAAAATTCTTACAAAGAAGGATTTCATAGAAACCGGATTAAAAACAAGAACATATTTCCACAGTGTGTGTGACAGACATTAGTTCCTAGAATCTGAGTGTTCCTGGCAAAAAAGATAGAACTTATCTGCAAACGTATCAAGGATCAAGACCTGAGGAGCCCAGGAACTGACTTTAGAAAGACAGACTTGAAAATAGCAACAGAGTAAAATATGCTCACAAAACAAAACAAAACAAACAAAAGAAACCTAAGGTGGCAGCAGGTGAAGGAAAAAACTGTCATAGGAATCGCAGTTTGGTAGAGGCAGCGAGAACATCAAAGACGTGTGGAAAATGGTTTATCAGGTAAGTAGTGCTCAGTTGGTGAACTTGAATCTGTTCACCCTGGAGCAACGAACACCTCCACCCCCAACCTGGTGTTCTCAGGAATGCCGAACTCGAACTCGTAAAGATGCTTGGCCGGAAAGGGCCCTGGTTACCCACTCATTTGAGCTGTCAGCAAACCTCCAGAAGAAAGTGCAACAGGCTTCCAAGTCACATGAGCAACCTCCTTTTATCTTACTGCTTCTATAAAACCCCATGATGTTGTTATTTTTTATTTATTTTAAATGTTTGAATACACGTTTTTTAAAGGTTTTATTTATTTATTTTTTTAGAGACAGAAGGGAGGGAGAAAGAGAGAGAGAGAGAAACATCAATGTGCGGTTGCTGGGGGCCATGGCCTGCAACCCAGGCATGTGCCCTGACTGGGAATTGAACCTGCGATGCCTGGTTCGCAGCCCACACTCAATCCACTGAGCTATGCCAGCCAGGGCTGAATAAACTTTTTTTAGAGCAGTTTTAAGTTACAGCAAAATTGAGCGGGAAGTACAGAGAGTTCCCATCTACCCCTTGCCATTACACACCCCCAGCCTCCCCCACGGTCCACAGGGAGCGGCAGAGTGGTGCACTGGTTGCCGCCGCCCTGCGTTCCTGCTGCTCCACATCCGTGCCAGACCTTGGCGTTGCCAGTGTTCTGGGTTTTGGCCATTCTAGTTGGTGTATAGTGGTATCTCATTATTGTTTTAATTTGCATTTCCCTGATAACATATGATGTGGAGCATTTTCTTTGCCTGTATTTACTTGCTATCTCTGTGTTTTTTGGTGGTGAGCTGCCTGTTCAGATCTCTCACCATTTTTAAATCAGGTTATTTATTTTCTCGTTATGCTATGATTTTCATACTCTTTTCTCTTTTTCCTCCTACAGATAATGTGAGAGACAGTATGCCTTTGTGATTAAAAATGAGTCCTTTGGAATCAGATTGACAGTAAGAATCCTGTCTCTCACTTGATAGCTGTGTGACTTTGTGAAAGTTACATAAACTCTCTGTGCCTCAGGTTTCATCTTGGTGAAAGGGGGCTAATAATGTGTGGTGCTTGAGTGCATCGATGCATATACAGGACTTAGATGAGGGCCTGACTTGTAGTAAGTACTTACTGTTAGCACGAAGTATTTATTAGTCTGTCATTTTGTGTACTCATCGTTACTCTCTGCTCTTTACTGTACTCCCTGCAGGACACTTACGCTGAACCTGTTCACATGAAATTGTACATTATTTTTAGAGGTATTTGTATTTTTTAGTTTTTGTTTAAAAAGTCACATCAGTATCACAGCCATTCTCTTGGTAAAAGGTTCAGCAAATACACAAATACCTCTCTATATGTGCGTAGTAAAAATGAAAGTTCCTTTGCATGTAACAGCCCCCTCCTCCCACTTCCTCTTCTCTTTCCAGATGTAATGACTGTTAACCGTTAGAGTAGGTTGAGGCTGAGCAGATTGGCCTGAGATGTTCCATATTAAATTATTTTTTTAATCCGAAGTCTCTGGCACTTGTTCCTGCCTAGAGTCTCTTGTAATGGAGCAGCTTCCTGAGACTCTGCAGTGTTCGTCCCTTGTGCTCCCCTCAGGACTTCTCAGTAGGTCAGATTCCCAGACTAACGCCTGCTTCTCTGTCTTCTCCTGTTTGTGGCAGCCAAAGGTATGTACCTTTTGATTTCGGCACTCGTGTGCTGAGAATGTCCACCTTATTTAAGATGCTCAACGTAAGTGGTGTGGAAGGTGATTGCACCTGTCCCTCAGGGTTGGGGTAGACCACCCTTTCCCACTCCTGTTGTTTGCTGTCTAGGGCCAGGATCCTTGACCTCCCTGGGTTCCCAGACTCCACTGGCACGTGGTTCTGGGGATGGGGGGAATCTGGGGAGGGTCTGTCAGTGCTCTCTGCCACCCTCCTGTTTCTGATGGTAGGGTGTGGGAAATGTGGGGAGACCTGGAGGTGCCTCATGATCTTTTAGATCTAACTTGAGAGCTGCTGACCAAGGACTGTTCAGCAAATGAATGTCCCAGTTGAGATGGAGATAATGCATCTTGCTTTGAGAATTAATAGAGCTAAAGTACTTTGAAACATAATTTAAAATTTTATTTCTTTTAGGTTTTACTTATAATTAAAATATTTTATTTAAAGAAATATAAAATTATACATTCAAATAATAATTTCTTAAATTTTTATGCCTTTATTTTAAAATCCTGGGTAGTAATGTGTTCATTGTAACAAATTTAAAAGGATACAAATAAAAAGTGGAATCTACTTCTACCCATACATTATTTAGTAAGCACACGTGTTAAAAAAAAGAAATGAGTTTATAATAGACTTGGAATGTTTTGGATATCTTTCTGTGACAGTTCTGTGGCAGTGTAACACCACATAATTTATTGAGATGTTTCCTTTTTGTTAGATGTTTAGATTGCCCCCCGACCCCCAGTGGAAACAATGCTAATATGTTTGTCCTTGTAATTTTATTTTTACATATTGGTGAGTATTTATTTGGGGTAGATTTTTGCAGACAGAATACTGGATCACTGTGTACATTTATTTTAAAATTTGATTTAAATTAAAAAAATCTAATAGAGTTAAAACGTTGACTTTGGCCCCTTTTGGATACTAATGCTCAAACTCTTTTTGGTAGAGATGTTTCTCAGATGGATTAGTGTAGGGAGGCACTCCCAAGGGAATTCTCTAGCTTGCTGAGTTTCAGGTACATGGTGAAGATGCAAGGGTAGTTAAAACCTCACAAAATAATAGCTAATAGCTCTCTTTTTCATTTTTGAAGTGAAGTGGAAATAGTTTCTGAAAGATTTGGTGATATTTTGGCAGGCAATTACATGATTTTTAGTTGCTTTCCAGTGAGAAATTTTTATTTTTATTTATTTTTAGAGAAAGGAAGGGAGGGGGAATGAGAGGAGGGGAAACATTGATGTGAGAGAGAAACACCAATTAGTTGCCTCTCACATGTCCCCAACTGGAGGTCTGGCCTGCAATCCAGGCATGTGCCCTGACTGGGAATTGAACTGGCAACCTTTCAGTTCACAGGCCGGTGCTCAGTCCATTGAGCTATACCAGCCAGGGATCCAGTGAGAAATTTAATAATTATAGCTAGTGCTTTGATTTTATATAACAGTGAATATAGTTAAAATGTAAACAATTCAGAATGTCTATATTCTACCCCAGCCTGCTCTGTTATTCAGAGGCTGATTTCCCAATTTATCATTATCCATGTACGTTTTATTTTCCTTTGTATTTGACCATTTTATTGTTTAATTGTTTCTCTGTTAGTGTGGATCTATACAATGAAAGGGAAGAGAGTGTGACCATGTCTGGTAGATGATGGGTTAATTGCAAAAGTCATTTAAAGTAGGGGATCATGAAAATATATCATATACACACACTTAATATGTAACTTGAAATCTGTGTGTACGTTTTTGTACCAAGCATTCTGGCATTCTAATGGCCTTGGTCTTTATTGGGTACATTTCATCTATAATGCTTCATTTTAGATTTTTTTCACTGTACTTAGAATAAAACCTTAAAATTTAAGGGGTGTCAAAAAATGTAACTGCTCCTTAACAGTTATGCGAGAGCCTGGTGCTGCTGCCGGGCAGCAGCAAAGTGCTGGGCCGGAGAGAGCCAGGTGGAGGGCCGGAGTCGGCCCACGGGCCTTGTGTTTGCCACCTGTGCTTTGAATCTTTAACATGTGGCACAAAAGGTATATATTATCTGGCTTTTTGCCAGTTTCTAAGAAATCTACACTACTGGTTATTTGTGATCAAGTTATACTGACTTCCATTTCTGAATCTTACCTTAGGGCCTTTGCCACATGCCACTCCCATAACCTGGAATGATCTTTTCTTCTAATCTTTGGATGAAGATTTTTATCCCAAGTGTCATGTTTTCAAGGGAGGCATTCTTAATATTCCTTTCGAAACCAGGACATGCCCCACGTACTACTGTCACTTTGTTACTTTCCTCATTTTAGTTGGCACACTTGTAAATATGTGTTTTTTTCTGTTTATTCATTGAACTTCTACCTTTTTCACAAGGCTGAAGGCTACATGTAGGCAAGTGCCATATCTGTTAGGTTTACCATGCTGTAATAGCCTGTGCTTAGAGCAGTGTCTGGTGTATAATACAAACCTAAGTATTTGCAGCCTTAATCAAATGTTTATTAATTTCATACAATGTGTCAGGCACTGTGGGGGCATTAATGAATAAAATGCTACTTAGTCACCTCATTGCAGCCTGAGAACGGAAATGTGTTTATCCAAGTATGCACCACATTTACTAAAATATAGGACATTAAAATTTTCACAAGATAATATTAGAACATGCAAATTTTATGCTAAAATAAATAGGAATCTTTTTAAAACATGGGAGAAAATGTTGCTCATTCTTTCAGAAATGATTATTCACGCATTTTTCATTCACATTGTCTTGAGGATTCTGACCATCTGTGTAAAGCTTTGAAAAGCTGGGAAGATCATAGGCACTATTATTAATAACTGTAACCCTTTTTCCCCCCTGAAGTAATTAAGGTCTTTCTTGAGACTGCATAATGTAGTGGAACCTGCCCTCTGGAGAACCAAGCAGGGTTAAAGTATAGGACTGCAAGTAGAGCACAGGTGATTAAAGCCAGACTAATATATGCGATCCCAATTTGCTATGTCTTAAGTTCTGTTGCTCTTAATAAAATGTGCTGGGGTAAACAGAATGTCAGGCATCGCTTGTAAAGGTTTTCCTTTTTAATTATGGTTTTGTTTTTGCATTGTCAGAAGTTCTCTGATTTGGAAGGGTGTACTTTACATGAAGAACTGTGTTCCGAAAGTGTTTAGCTTGTCTTTATGTTGAGTCTGCGGAGTGTGGTTTCTTGACTCTGGGTGAGTGAATTAGCCTTCCAAGCCCCATTGTAGTTGTAAAGGGGATTGCATTTGGTACTAGTGTGGCTTGTTTTATGTAACCAAAAATTTTTAAAATTCTCTGTGTTGAAATGATCTTTCTAGAGAGAAGTGATTTTGGTCTTTTAGTCATTCAGTCATCATTCATTCATTTGACAAGTGACCTTGTCAGGTGGTGTACTGTGTTCCTGACAATTTCCTGGGAGCTGCAAATACAAAAGTGAATAAAGTATAGTTGCTGTACAACAGCAGTGCATTGTAATTGATGAGACAGACACATAAAGAACTATGTGGTATGATAAAGGGTAGAGTAGGAGTATAAATTAATATAAAACATTGTAGAAACACTGTAGAGGGAGTGATTGGCTCTTGTTGGAAGGGTCAGAGAAGGTTTCCAGATTTGTTGGAAATCCAGACACATCCATCTGCTGGGTTTTTACCCTCCGAAATTTGTGTAGAATAGAGCTGCTTGAACTGCCTGCAAAGAGCCTCACAGGCAAAGGGGAGTAAGGGTACCCCTTGGAAGCTCAGCTGTGCCTGAGAGCAGCTTGAAAACCCCTTAAATTCTCTGTTTTACCTTCAGAATTCACATGAATGCTGCATTTCATTGCATCCTAATGTTATAAATGTAGAAATATGTGAACTACCATCAGAAAAGAAAAAAAATTCCCTGCTGGTCTGCTAATTGTGGAAAGCTGGGGTGAATAAAGAGGGCTGACACGACATACCAGGCTCAGCACCTGCGTTTTCTTAGTGTGTCCCCAGCACGTTTGAGTTTGTGCCTGGGGATGTGCGTGCACTGGTTTGAGAAAAAAACAGAGTGGTCAGTCAGGTCACGGAACGTCGCATTCTTCTTCATGTTTCTGTAGTGTAGCCTTGGGAAAATTATTCATCATATTTTTGGACCATAAGATGCACCTAGGTTTTAGAGGAAAATAGGAAAAAAATTTTGAAGCAAAAAATGTGGTAAAATATTTAATAACATAAATAATTTAACATTTCACCAACGTAAATGTAAAGCTACATTCAGACTATAAGACACACCCCCTTCCCCCAAATTTGGTGGAAAAGTGCGTCGTATAGTCCAAAAAATACAGTAATTTGAGACTCTTGCCTTTGGAAATTGGACTAATGATGTGTACCCATACTTTTGTCGGGAGGTGATCATATAGTAGCTGCTCATGAAGGCTGTTTCCTTTTCCCCCACCCCCATCACACTCCTGTTTCTCGTCTCCTCCTTGGCCTTTACCCCTGGCCTCATAATTGCTTAGTTTGCCATGATCAGCTTGCTTTCTGTCCTGCTGGTCTTTTCCAGCTAGTGAGCAGTTGAGAACAGTACTAGGAGATGGTTGGGGTATAATCAGGGAAGTTCCTGGAGTAACAGAGAAAAGCATTCAGCACCCTGGGAAGTGGCTCAGGCTTGGCTCATCAGTGTAGGAGAGGCCTAGGAAGGCTCCTGTGTTGGTAAAGGGGAAGATGGGTGAGACTCCAAAGCTTGGGATTGGAATGTAGGACTGAGTGCACTGAGTGCACTGACAGTCCGATTTCTGAGCAGCAGCAGAAGCGGTGATGCTGACTTGTTTCTTTTTTTCCCCAAACTGGTCAGAATATTAGACTAGTGGTCTGAAGATTTTAAATTGAAGTAAGTATGTGTTCAAAAATACGTTATGTCTGAAACCTCAGAGTTAAACATAAAAAGAAGTTACGTTACTGGCTTATTTTATAAATGGTGGCACCCATCCCTGTGTTTCT